AGTAAATCTTAGGACATGTGATATTTTCAACAGAGAGAGGACTGCCTGGAGTCCTCTCATTGGCAGAGTATGTGATCTTATTCTTAAGGCCCTAGGTTTGACCCACAGTGTTGTAAAACAACAATAAAAAACAACTAAAATAACACAGATATCAAAAAATCTTCTGTGGAAAGGTGTAGAATCAAAATTATTTAACATTGTATAAAAGTCAAGTCAGTTATCAAGGAAATTTTAGAAATGGTCAATGAAAGATGATTAACCCATTATCCTTTTAGGATAGAGAGAACAGTTTATTCTGTATTTTCCCCAAACCCCATGTGTCTTTTTTTTTCAGTATTGAAAGCTGAACAATCAATTTTTGCAGATATCTACCAGTATTGTACTCTATAACCTTAGAAATCAGGAGGGTTAGGTATAAATCACTGAATGATATTATGCTCAGAGATGGATGCTCAAGATATTTTTAATTGTTTACATTTATTATTATTATTATTATTATTATTATTATTATTATTATTATTATTATTGCTTTGTAGTGTATGTGTGGGATCATATCCAGGCTCTCTTGCATGGTAGGCAGATATTATTTCACTAAGCTGCATCTTCAGCATCACTGTGACTAGGGGATACCTGGAAGTTTTATATGGCTGTGCCTCTGAAATACTGATTTCAGTAGTTTTGGAGACACTGACTCACTATAATAAATCTCTGAGAAGGTTCTTTGGACATTGCATTTGAAGGTCCCTTTGTTTATCCAAAGGTTCAGGTATGGAGGGAAAATACCTTTTCACTTTTTTTTTTTCCCTCTCTCCAATCTTAAGTTAGTTAAGTAAAGCAGAGATGATGAGTCTTTTGTGATTCTAGTGCTCCCAGACTGAAAATGAAATAGCAATTTTAGTCATTCAGCATAAAGGGAACCTGTATTGGGTTTTCTATTCATGGGCTTGGGGACAGGGATGTGAATATAAGGATATGCTCTGTTTTCAGTGGGAAGAATTTGACAAGTTTACTATGTGATGGATAACATTTTGTTTTACTTTTAAACTGCTGTGCTCAAGAGACTTATGAACTAAATTTGCCTTTAATCTTAAAATTTCACTGGCCCAGGGAGAGATAGAATTTTATGGTCCATTCTGATACAATTTTAAGGAATCTGTTGTTTACCATAATGGTCACAAGGTTAATTGCTGCTTCTGAATCTGCTTCTGCAAGCAAAGTTGTTTGTATAAGACAACAAGGCACCTGTAAGACATGTGTTTGCTAAAAGCTGTGATTGCACTTAGGCAAAGATAAATGTATGTACATAAATGGAGCACCACCTTCTCATTGCAGGATGTATGTCTACAAATAAATGGAATGTAATCTTATGCTTTTTTCTTTCTTGTTCTTATTGTACTACATCATGGAAATCCCAACCAGTGTCTGAGAAAAAGTGTTTTCTTTGCTAGAAATAAATTTGTCTTTGGTCATACTGGAGGATCTGCAAATGACCCCAGACCCCTAAAAACTAATCATGGGTAGAGTAATTCTTTTTTCCCCAAAATTAGTATAATATTAAATTATTAGCAGTTAATTATTTCTCTTTAATACTTTTACTCTTATATCTCAGATTTTCATATATAATGATGGACTTTATTGGAGTAGTAAAAATAGATACAGCATGTTTTCTATTTTAGACACCAACGTATTTAGGCTTTGGTCAAATATTAAAAATACAGCTATGAAGAAAGGTAAATATGCTGTGATGTCAGAAGTATACTGACTAGTCATGTGTTTAAATAATTACTTTTTGTGTCTGTGAGCTTGTGTCAGGAAAATGATATTTAATGTCTTAAACAAATGTAATTGTGGTGGTATCTCAGAGTCATTTTGATTTGCATTTCCCTGATAGATAAGGATGTTGAACAGTTCTTCTGTTGAGAATCTCTGTGCCCATTTTTAAATTGGATTATTTTGTATTTTCATGTCTAGTTCCTTGAGTTCTTTATATTTTTTGAGATCATTCCTCTGTCAGATGTAGGGTTTGTGAAGATATTTTCCCATTCTGTAGGCTTTCTCCTATTGTTCATGTCCTGTGTCTTACAGAAGCTTTTCAGTTTTAGAAGGTCTCATTTTATCAATTGTTGATCTCAGTATCTGTGCTACTGATGTTATATTCAGGAAGCAGTCTCCTATACCAATGCATTCTATCAGCTTCAGTATAACTGGATTTATGTTGAGGTATTTGATCCAATTGGACGTTAGTTTTGTGTATGACAATAGATATGGATTTATTTGCATTCTTCTACATGTTGACATCCAGTTATGCCAGCACCATTTGTTGAAGATGTTATATTTTTTCATTGTATAGTTTTGGTTCTTTGTCAAAAATCAGATATTTACAGGTGTATGGATTTATGTCAAGGTCTTGGATTTGACTCCATTGGTCCACAAGTCTGTTTTTATGCCAGTAATAACACCCTTTACAATAGCCAAACTGATATACAATATCTTGGAGTAACTCTAATTGAACAAGTGAAGATAGATATGACAAGAATTTTAAATCTTTGAAGAAAGAAATTGATGAAGAGATCAGAAAATAGAAATATCTCCCATGCTCAGTAGGATTAACAGAGTAAAAAATAGTTATCTAAGAACAATCTACAGATTCATTGCATCCATATTCCCATTAATATCCCAACATAACTCTTCACAGACCTCAAAAGAACAATGCTCAACTTCATATGGAAAAACAAAACAAAACCCAGGATAGCTACATCCTGTACAATAAAGGAACTTCTGGAGGTATCACCATCCCTGACTTCAAGCTCCACTGTAGATATAAAGTAATAGAGACAGTTTTGTATTTACCTTTCTAAAGTAGTGTCTCTGTTCTATATTGCTTATGAGAGTCCTCATCTAGTAGCTGATGGAAACAGAAGCAGACACCCACAGCTAAACACTGATCCGAACTGGAATCCAGATGCAGAGAGGCAGGACAAGACCAGGCTACAGAAACAGCTGACCTGAACAAGGGAGAGCTAATGAACCCCCAGACTGATAGCTGAGAAACCAGCATTGGACTGTCTCAGACCCCCTGAATATGGGTCTCAGTTAAAAGGCCTGGGCAGTCTAAGGGACCTCTGATAGTGGAACCAGAATGCATCCCTGGTGCACAAAAGGACTTTGGGAACACATTGTCCATGGATGGATACTCCCTTAACCTAGAGGCAGGAGAGAGGGCCTAGTCCCTAGTCCAAATAGCTTGACAGCTTTTGATGATCCCTCCTGGAAGTTATCACCCTCCCTGTGGAGTGTGGGGGGCATGGGAGGGAGGGAGACAGAGAGGGAGTGATGGATGGAGGGAGAGAGAGGGAATTGGGATTCATATGTAAAATAATAAAAATAAATAAATAAATGAATAGAAAAAATTTTTAGGACTGAGTCATTCATTAGATCTATGTGGTGATGTAATGTTTATGATATAATAAAGCTTGCTTGATGATCAGAAGTCAAAGTTAACCACAGCCATAGAAGCTGGGCAGTGGTGGCACCTCTAGACCCAGGACTCAGGAGACAGAGGAAGATGGATTTCTGTGAGTCCAAGGCTACCCTGGGCTACCTGAGAGTGAAACCACCTAGAAAAGAACTGAGCTCACACTCTTAATCCCAGCACTAGAGACAATATAAGAAGCCCAGTGCAGTCTCAGACAGCAGTCTGAGATTTGGTAATGAGCAGTGCAGTCTGAAGATTCAATATGAGGTTTGGTGGGTCCTCCAATTTGTCTGAGCATTGGTAGAGGTGAGAACTCTCTAGTGGTTTGGCAGCTTTGGTTTGCTGATCTTTAGCTTCAACTCCAATATCTGTCTCTGGGTGTTTGTAATTTGTGCTACAAATCTATTTCTAGTACCTTGAGAAACCTGTATACTGATTTTTAAGTTAGCTAGATGTGTTTACTTTCCCACCAGTAGTGTATAAAACTTCCTGTCAGCATTGCTGTTATCTGTTTTCTTGTGGCTGATATTTTGAATGGGGTGAGTGGAAGCTCATTGTAGTGCATATATGTGACTTGTCTTTTTTTGTGATCAGTGATTTTGAACATTTAAAAATGTTTATTGGCTATTTTTGCTTTGTTAATTGACAGCTGTGTGTATACTCTATTGATCTTTATATTGTTTTGTTTGGTTTCAGGTGTTTGGTTTTCAAATTTTTTATTATTTTTGCATATTCTAGGTATTGATCCTAATGTATAGATATTAAATATTTCTTCTATTCTTTGGCTGTCTTTTCATATTAATAATAGCTTTATGATTGTTTTCTGAGCATTTGGAAGCCTTTCAGAAAAATCTTTGTCTATACTTTTATCTTAAACTATTTTCTCATTGATTTCTTCAATGACTTCCAGATCTTATGTCATGGGGTTTGATGTAGTTGTAATTGACTTTAATACAGGTGAGGTAAAGGCATTGAGGTTCATTCTTTACACAGGTCATATTCAGTTTGGTTAGCGCTATTTGTTGAACTGGTTCTCTTTACTCCAGTATACATCTTGGCATATCTGACACAATTAATGGGAACAAGAACCTGTCACTAGAGAGGTCTTAAGCCCTTGGGGATATCATACTACTATTATTCTGTAAAAATGATTCTTAATAATTGTTGCTATACACATAGATCAGTCCACATCAAAGATTCTTTTTGTAGAAGATGGCAATTGATATGAAGACTCTCTACTGATTAACATGCAGAAAACAAGAGACTTTGTGATGCTCAATCATAAATGGGACATTGATCATACCCCTTCCCTCAGGTCCAGGGATATTCACAGATTAGGGACAGATAAATTGTAAGAGCCTGAGGTGATAGTTGATAACTTCAAACAAAGAGGCAACTAGTACTAAAGGCTTGGAAACTTACTACTGTAGAAGTTTCATAATACAAATGAAAGGAATTTCAAAGGAGTCACCATATAATGGGGAAGACAATACCTCAACTAGACTTTTTTTTTTTTTTTTTAACCTTTGCCAAAATAAGACTTTATTTTGAAAGACAGTAAGCAAGGAAGAAGTAAAACTGTGCAGATGTAGATTCTAAACCACCAATGGCCTCTATCAGGCCAAAAAGTTGTGTTCTTTGCTAACTTTGATGTTAGCTCCCTGAAGAGATCTTTTCCCATAAACCATCTTCATTTTTTTTGTAGAGGAGAGCTTTATTTCCAGGAAATAGTATATTTGCTGGAGATGGGAATTTTTTAAAAAACATCAAGGTCGATCTAATATGTTCAACAAAGTGGGGGGGGGGGGGCTCGGCCAGAGGAGAAGTAGAAAGATTCTCTAGTATTTGCTTGTCATCTTGCTGCAACCAGCAATCCACATGTGGAAATGGCGTCCAGGAATACGGCCTATTCGAAGTTGTTCTGTCTTTGCATCATAAATGCTAATCATCGGGCCTCCTGCTAAAGCTCTGGCAGCACGAAGCTGCTCCTCTGGACCACGATCTTGAAAGGAAGCTCTGTAAATCTCTGCAGTTTTAATGTTGGCAGCGATGCCATAAATGATTGGAAAGTGGTTTTCATTTTCTTCCCGGTCATTTAATTCCGTCACATATAATGTCACTAAGTGAATGTCATCATCTTGTTTGTCAAATTCACTAAGAAGCTGATGAGTAAGTTTCTGTGACAGCTGCCTGTCATCACTGAAGCCTCCCACAAGGTGCACTTCCAGCCTTCCACACTGAGTGTGATCAGAAAAGGATTTTATGGCACTTATTATCAAGGGGACTTCAGCTTTGGTGTCAGTTCCATCACAATGTGTGAGGCAGGTTGCCCCATTACCTGTATGCCTCAGGACCACAATGTGACAAGTAGTGGCATCATCAGAACCCAGAATGGAGATGGAACCATCCTTTGGGGTGGTCACTGCAAGCTCTCTTTGCTGAACATACAGAAGGCCCTGGGGTCCCACTTGTTGAACAGACTGACCTCTGAGAAGTCTGGCTCTTTCCTCCAGAGAAGGGTGCTCTCGGACGAGCTCTGCAGCGGACCGTGGCAACCGTACACGCCGACCACCCACCAGCAGCGGCATCGCCAGACCGAGGTAGGCGCCCTCCGCACCCTCCTCACCATGCCCTGCCCTGCCCTGCCCCAGCCCGCCCCGCCCATCTTGGAGGGCACGCCCCCCCTCAACTAGACTTTTAATGCCACCAACTAAAACCTCCAGTGCCATGAATAGGTTACATCATGTTAACTTGTTGGCCAAAAGTGTCCCATGGAATGTCCCCACAAAAGTCACATGCCATTGCCAAGGATATTATTACTGCTGTCCTTTACCAAAGTGACAGTAAGGTCTTATTGCTGATACCAATTGAACATGAAGATATCTAGCTGGTTCCCAGCTAGATAGCTTCACTCCTACTGACAAGAATTCACACTGCTGGGAAGTACTTTGCATGGACTAGAGGAGAGAAATGAATAAAAAAGAAAATCAAACCAAACCAAACCAAACCAGAGAAAAAGTTCTTTGCATTTTATATAGACTATATTTTAATAAATCAATGTTGGAAGGTATTGCTAGCTGGTAGAGTATGTAGTCTGCCATAGTCTGGCAGATTTCTGTAAGCTCTGCAACATGGGAACTCCCTCCCTCCCTCCCTCCCTCCCTCCCTTCCTCCCTCCCTTCCTCCCTCTCTTCCTTCCTTTCCCTTTCCTCCCTCTCTCCCTCCCTCCTTATCTCCCTCTCTCCCTCTCTCCCTCTCTCCCTCTCTCCCTCTCTCCCTCCCTCCCTCCCTCCATCCCTCCCTCTCTCCCCATCAATGCTTCCTGTTCTCTACTTAGCCTTACTGGAGAATGTCACTGGGCCTGGAGGACTGACCTTATCTATAAAAGCTGTCTCTAAACCAGATGCCTGATTTATCTTAATCTTGACCCTTGGCACAGATCCCTGCTAAGAAGACTTGTGCTAAGTGCTCTGCTATAGGACCCTACTGCTGCATACAGAGCCTTTTGATAGGAATGTGCCCCTTACTTAAATTTGCCTTTGTCCCCAGGCTACCCAACCCATCATATTCCTTATCCTTTGGAATAAACCTGTCTCCTGCAGGGCTGCCTCTGTTTGTGCTCTTGGGCTCCATACAAAGCTTTCTGTTGCCCTTCTGCCTCTTTCGCTTCTTGGATGATGGCTGACAGGCCAAGAGGGAAGGAGGACCCCCACAAATCACCATGTCCTGATCTCTGTTCAACCCCAATGAATGTCTGTCCTATGGTGAAAATTCAAGCTTGCCCTGCAGAATGTTTGTTCCCTTATTTATTTAGTGGAGTCTAGAGATATTTCCCTCCTTTCACCCTGTCTCCCATCTTTTCTTCTGTTCCTACTCATTGCCAGCTTTAGTTGCTTCTGCAACTCACCTTACTTCCATTTCTCTACTGCTAGTCATTTCCCCTATACTCTGTGAGTACTGAAGGTTTTTAAATTATGTGCCACAAAATTTAATGGCTGCCAATGACCTTCCAAAAAGGAAGAGATCTTTGATTTTCGCATTTAGGACCTTATTATACTTCACTATTATGGATTATTCCTCTGATCTGAGTGTATGCTAGAGGTGTGGGAAAAGACAATGGGCATTTTCAGCAAATCAAAGTGATATTCATGGATGGAAGCTACAGGTTTCTTTTTAATCTGACATTAGTCAGGTCTGAGGTTCCTTTTGATGGTCTCTGGTATTACCTGTGGCTCTACATGACTGATGGATTTCACCTTGTCCACATAAGTAAAAACATTGGTAGTATATGGTTTTGCCTGTGGACAAATATTCTGTGTAGTATTCAGTATTTATTTTTAGAGAACTGAGAAGGGACACTAATTTATTCATTCTTCTCTATATATTTATAGAGTACACCCTGCACATGCCAAGTTTAATTGTTTTAAGTGCTTCGGAAGTAGCTATGCAGAAAACAGCCAAATCTCTTTGATGTTACAGACTTAGAATGAGAAGCATGTGTGATATGTATGAAAGAAGACATTATAAACAATAATGTAAGATTAATCTCCTGATGGAAAGTATGGAGAGTTCATAGCACATAGGATAGATTTTCATGCTTTTCTAATGGAAAATACAAAGATTGGAAGGAATAAATTGTAGGTAACACTGGAGTAAAGGTGATGTGAAGGAAGAATGGCGAATAACAGAGCAGGAAGGCTTAGGTTGGGCAGGAGATGGGAAGGCAGAGAAGAGGGGGGAGCTTGACGAGGGATAACTAAAACTAAAGACCTTTGAGAAAGTCATGTGTAAACTACTGTACAAGCTTCTTAAAATAGTTTCATGTATAAAATGAGCTTAAATTGAAATACATTATCATTTGGAGACAGTGTTTCTCCTAGACATCACAGGCTATCAAATAAAAACCTAGAACCAAGAATGAATTACTTTTTTGGAGTTATTAGACAATATATATCCCATAGATCTTCCAATATTACAGGCTATTGCTACTGCTCTTGATTATCAATAAACTTGGTGATTAGATCCTGTTGAGAAGGTACCAATTATTCATGTTATAATATGGAGAAATAAAGTTTATGTCTATCTAGAAGCTTATTGTCTAGGATTAAAAAAATTGTCTACATATGTCCATTTTTGTGTTTACTTCCTTTATTCCTTGCCAATTTTATATTTAGAACAATGGACTTAAATCATGTCCACCTATATACAATTCCAAATTCAGAACACTCAGACCTGAAAAGTAGGTGTGATAATTTTACTTTCGTTACATGAAGTCATCATAAGCATTAATTTCCCTCAGCATGATTCAAAGAGTGGTAAGAAACTAATCCTTCCCTGATAGCTGTCTCTCAACTGTTCTGTGTAGTTAAAGAGATAGCAGTATGTATCATTATTTGAAAATGGGTCATGTCTTGTATAAGAATTTGGGAGGTGAGTGTGGCATTTTCCAGCTTTTATATTGCTAATAGAATATGCATGCTTTCAAGAAGAAACTGAAGAATTAATTTCATTGAGGTGTAAATTGTGAGAGCTACAATTAATGCTAACCTGGCAAGACATATCCACTAGTACAATATTGTTACAAGTGTTCTGGGAGTAATAAACCAATGACTGCTTTTGGATTGGATTTCAGGCTTGCTCCAGAGACAAAACTCATTCCTAGCTTAATTCTTGCTACAAACTGCTGAGGCTAGATAGGTCACAGACCTCAGAGAAGTACTAATGACTTTTGTTCTGCTATGGATACAGCAGTAAACTAACTCAATTGGTGCATTTCTCAACCTTTATTAGAGATGCTTCTTTTAGCAGTAGATGGTTATTAACATAGGTATCTATAGCTGGTCAACAGGTAGAAAACAAGATACCATAAATGCTCAGTCCTAAATGGGAACTCCATATCAACCCCTTTTCCCAAGTCTCAAGGATCATAAGGGGAGTAGTGGTTGAAAATTGTAAGAGCCAGAAGTGATAGATAACTACATTAAAAGAGCATTTCCAGATTGTGCTCAAGGACCTCATAGTGGTTACAACAGTACCCATAACATTTGTCTAAAATCAAGCCTGATAAAAATCCAAGGATGGAGTGGGTGCATTGAAATGAATTCTACCTCTAGCTGGGGAACTACTGGCAGTTGATGGCTACTGTAAGAAATATGGTTTGTTTCAAGGATGCAGCCCCTGAGAGGCTACCTACTCTCAAGTAGATGACTTTATGCTCATATAATAAAGGTAGTGATGAGTTGAGTCAGTGGGTTAAAGGTACTGAAAAGAAGAGATGATGTTAAGAGGGAATATGGTAGGAGGATGGAGAAACACCATGGGAGAAGGAATCAGGGATGAACACATTGTGTTTATGTATACAATTTTCAAAAAATAACAGTAACATCAAACAAGAGTGTATCCCTCCAATAAGCCAATGTTATTACTATTGAATTAGTTTGTAGGCAACAAAGCAACAAAGCCTGATCTCTGGAGAAATACTTAGTAATCACAATCCTTTCAGTTTTACCTAGGTCCCCAAGATTGTAAACTCTTAAAACCCTCTTGGGTCATTACCTGGTGACTCTTGTGGCATCAGTAGATGTTATTTACCAACCTCTGGGATAGAGAAGACTTTCTGGGAAAAGTCACCAGTGGAAATCATGAACTATAACTCATGGCTTTTCAGAACCTGGAGGAATGAGGGCTCAAAATTACCCATTACAAAACTAATTTTCCCCATCCCCAAAGCAAACCTAGTAAAAACAGAAACAGTATTTTTTCTAGTGTCTGCACCTTACAGCTCATCCATTCCATGTGTATTTTCCCCTCTGTGAGAGAAGAGTAGATTTCCTAAAGTGACTTGAGAGTACCCTGGACACAGAGGTAAGCAATGAATTCAATGCATGCTTTTTCCTCCCAAACCACACAGCAATCCTGTGCATTGTCTTTTCTTTTGAGATGATAACTGAGCCTGAATTGGGAGGTAGATTGTTGAGGTAGAAGAACAGAGATGTTTCAGAGCCAGAACTGTCATTGTTGTCTTGAATCCCATTCTCAAAGAAATGGCCTGTTCATTATGTTAATTTCTGTATATGAACTCAGAAAACAAAACAAAAACAAAAACAGAAACATCCCATAGAGAAGTTCTTGTTTGAATTTATCATTCGATTGTGGTTCTTAATCTCATTCGAATAGGGTAGTTTATATAAGGCTACAGTTGCATTTTAATAGTACTATTTAATGTTACTGTTCTCACAGATATGCCCCAGGAAACAATGGCCTCAGAAAATGACTCTTCTGTGAAGGAGTTCATCCTTCTGGGCTTGACACAGCAGCCAGAGCTCCAGCTGCCTCTCTTCTTCCTCTTCTTGGCAATCTATGTGGTCTCCATGGTGGGGAACCTGGGCTTGATCATTCTCATTGTTTTGAACCCTCACCTGCACACGCCCATGTATTACTTTCTCTTCAACCTTTCCCTCACAGATCTCTGCTACTCGTCTGTTATAACCCCTAAAATGCTGGTGAGTTTTGTGAAGCAGAACATCATCTCCCATGCTGAGTGCATGACCCAGCTCTTCTTCTTCTGCCTCTTTGTTATTGATGAATGCTACATTTTGACAGCCATG